CTTTTCGATAAACTTTGAAAAAAAATAATTAATGATAATATCTAATGGTCCCGTACAAATGTCTCCTAATTTGCAATAACTCAATAAATGAAAGCAATAAATTCCCAGCTGTATTAAAAATCTCAATTTGCTAGAATGTCACTGATAATCATTGGAACAAGCTCGCAGTAGTACATTGAGGCCTTCTTTGGAGAAAAAAAAAATACTATATATTAACGAAAAAGAAAAGGAATACAGTTTCCAATAACCCAAGTATAATCAAGAACAAACTCAGGTACGACGAAATAGTGATGTACAAGAACATCTTATGTAGTAGTACAACTTCATTAGAAAACAAAAATACCCAAAAAAATAATAATAATAAAAAAAAAACATATACACGTTTCTGAATTCTTCGTTCGTACCATAATAATTCGATCTGAGACAGATCACCTGAATTAAGGATCCCATACAGATTGAGGAAAAAAAATAAATCAAAGGGTCATCCTTAATTTATTCTTAAACTTTAATAATCACGAAGATTCGACGGATTTTGGGGAGACGTTGTTATGGTTAATTGGCATGGACTTTGATCTCTTGAAATAATCAGTGGAAGTGGATCGATGAAACTTGCACCTGAACGACCCCTGATGCGTCGTCGGCGAGCACAGACACTGACCTTTCGGTGAAACCGCAGCTCCGCCGGCGTGGCCGTCTGCGCCGTTCCTCGGGGAAGTTGTTGTCGTCGTTGCCACCGTGATGCCACCGGTTCCATGGTTTGAGGCCATCTTTGTGTTTGTGGGTAAAAAAAGACTTAAAAAGAGAGGTGAAAAAGACAGTAAAAAGAAAGCACTAGAAAAAAGAGAGATTGGAGTTTTAAAACCATATGGCAGGAGGCCGTAGGGCTGTATATATAGGAAGAAGAGGAGGAGGAGTAATGGGAAGAAATTGAATACAAATCTATTTCTTTATTTTAATAAAAAAAAAAAAAGAAGAAACTTATCTTCATTGAATTTTGTGAGGTGGGTACAAAAGTATAATGATATTATAGGACATTATCTTTATTTCTCATTTTCCTTAAATTAACACCCAAAAAAAAAGGAAAAATGTTGGTTTGCTCCAATTTTCTTTGGTGGGTATACCTCTAATCGAATTGCGATACATCCTATCATCATCTTCTTTGTAATCATTTTTTGTTTAGATGATGATGAGGATTTTGGCCATTTTGGAGTTGCCTTTTCTTTTACGTTTTGGTCTTCCAATTTTGGTTTTTAATACGTAGAGAAATTCATCAGTTATATAGTATGGGACTTTCCATCCCCAAAAATGGAGTTTAGATGACCTTTCGGTGGGTTGTGTTTGTAAAAATGTCAATTGAGCAGTCACATCGCAAGTGGTGTACAAACCATGGGCAATAATTATAGTACAAAGGTCTTCATGTACACTCTTTTTTATTTTTTCATTATGTCATGAAAATTAAAAAAAAAAAAAAACGCAAACTAGAAACTCATTCGTACACGGACTTTTGTTTTACAAAAGTACGTTTGTCAACTTCGATTCAGTGAATTTATCAAATTCCCGATCGTTTGTTTCAATCTGTCTAGATACCTAATTTTTATTACCAAATCACTGAAATATAATTTGTAACGGGTTCTATTATTACATTTAAAATAAAGGGTAATAGTAGCAATATAATGGGAGGTTAATGATTGATCATAATTGGGGAAGATTAGGTGGCCCATCGGTCATCACTTATTGGTATTCCAAATATATTTTCCAAAATATCCAGTAGCCTTTTTTTTTTTTTTGCTTATCAAATTCCATTGATCTTGTTTCTTAGGTGGAGATGGATAATGGGTTGGGTGATACAGTATTCATTTTGCTGTTTACACTTTGAATGAACGTGTTGTCAATCAATTTGCTTTTGCCAAATCAAACCAATATTAAAATCTAGATTAGGAGTAGAAAAAACCCAGCATTTCTCATCTGTTCAGTATCTAGTCAGATGTGACAATTTTTTTTCCCCTGCAGCATTTTTATCGTTATTAATTACAAATAAGAATAACTATTAGTGAATGAATAGCTTTAACTCGGATTAAGGAAATCTTAAATCAAAGCACGTGGCAATAAGATCGTGTGAGAATGTCGCAAACGAAAGAGAATCAAGAGACGAGATTTGATTTCATGTGGGGGAACCATTTGATCTGGGCGTGGATCACCGTACACGTATCAGATGCTGTCTTGGAGATTCTGATCTAAAATATATATGTACTGATCACTTCCCTGGCCTCAAGTTTTCTTTTTTGGTAAATTTCGTAGCTTCCAAAAACACCAATCTGGAGAAAATTGGCCAATATGTAACGCTCGGTACACATTGTTGGAAATTTTTATATTTTTTTACTGTTTGGTAAAATGTGCACGAAAAAAGTTACTAATTCTGTCCCTAAAAAAATAGTCCACTTTGATTTTTTAGTTTTGTATTGTTTTTAATAAAAATTTGAAAACTCAACGTGCACTATTTTTTTTGGGACGGAGAGAGTACATTGTAATATTAAATATACGGTTATTATGTTTGTACATTCATCTTTTATAATTGTAAATTTTGGCTCGTGTTTTACTCTATAATGTTATCTCTTTTAACGAAAGGTAAACAAAGAAGAAGAGGAAAGAGCCATTATATCGTCGAAAATGGTGGAACGCAACAGGTGTTTGATCCTCTTTTGTCTATACCGTTGCAAAATGTATTAAAAATGTATATTCAATATGTTAAATCTAGATATAATTCCTAATGAGAAATGTGATTAGTCAGTGGGCCGAGGTACGTTTAGGAATGGTGGGACAATTGCTCCACCAGATTTTTCGTCAGTTCCGTCACCACTAAAGTATAAGATTTTTCAAAAAAAATGTTAATATAGATGTTCATCTATGATATACCTACAATGATTAATTCAAATTATTATTACTTTATTAATATTAATAATAACAACTTATTATACTGATTCACGTCCTAACAAAAGTTTTGGCACATAGATGATGTTTTGAGAGGGGAGACTTCTGGTTTGGACTTTTTCGTGAAACGAGCTGTTCAAAAGACCGGGACCAGAACAATTAAAGTCTTTAGACTATAGGCCCATATCCTTGGGTTCACTGTTGATGAGGATTGAAATTTGCCACTCTTCTCATACCCCACAGTCTAAACTCTAGAGACTCTAAACCACTAAAGCCGAAAAGAAACCAAATTGTAGTATTATGAATCGAGTTGTGTCTTAGTGGTTAGTGCGATATAGTTTTAACTGTAAGATTGACAGTTTGATTCTTATCACAGACAAGAGAAATCTGCACCTTAAAACCATTAAAGACCGAGTATCGTGAGTAAGAGGATAGTTCTTTCCTCTTCCCCAATAAATTTCGCCCCATTGTAATAGGTTAAGTATCCTTCATGCATGAATAGTTATCTGTTAAAAAGAAAGTATTTTGTTAACTACTCCATTTCAAAATAAATGTGTTACACTTTGCATATAGTTTAAAAAACTCTTAAATAAGATGATAAAATTATTTGAATATCCTCAACTAATTCCATTAAAAAAATATCCACTAATAGTATTAATTATTTTGAGGGTAATTTTGGATATTTTGGATAAAAAAAATTCATTGACATGTAAGAACGACACTTTATTTTGAAATTTTTTCATTTTGCTAAAACGGCACTTATTTTAGAAGGAAGTAGAAGATGTAATATTTATTACTTTTTTTTTTCACATATCTAATCCATCACAATAGTACAGTATTTTGGGATTGTTTGTTGTTTTAGTTTTTACTGACTAAAAATAGACAGTATGGAACCTTTTTTTGGAAAAAAAATAAAATTTGATTTTAGTTAGAAGATTTGTTCACTTCCCTTCCTAGAGGAGATTGAAAACTGGCCCAGATGTTCTCAGGAAACAAAAGGCCTGATCTAGCAGCATAGAGTCCAGATCTAAAGCCCAATCTAATCCATTTACAGTCAAGCAATTATTTATTTTTGAATCATGAATTTGGCTTAGGTTGAGAAAATGAAGAACACCTGAATGAAGAACTCGGGATAGGTAAACAGTAGTTGAAACCCGATGGGAAAGTATATATATATATATTTTTCTAATTCTTTTTTGTTACTTTTGTTCTCACCCATATATCTGGAAACATAATATAGTCGAGATATTTCCACCTTCTAATAGAAATGTGGTACAATGTTAATTAACATTGAATAAGGCTGTACCTCACGTCTTTTACCTCATTGGTCTCGAAATTTTATGAATTAAAATAACCTATGATTGAAACGTTATTGTACTACGTTATCAAATCAAATACATTCTAGAAAATATGGTATTGATTAAAAATTGGGTGTTGATAAACGCAGATTATATTTACTTTGTGCAGTTTATGAAATAGATTAAAATATTTTAATAAAACTGCGTGAAGTAAAATCAAGATGCACGAAATAAAATCTTAAAATGAATCAGATCTATCGGCTATCGGCAGATTCCTAGGCGTCTTCGGCAGCGGTAAAGAATGGATTTATTTTCCCCGATCAAATTGCATAGTCATATTTATTAAATTCAAACAAAAATTTTTCACGAAGAATCGGCCAATAATTATCTCATTTTCTCCTCTTTCTCGTGTTATTTGGTTATGCATCATTGCAAACAATCAATGATCAGTGAATGTTTACTGTATATTGAAATAATATGTGTGAAATTTTAAAAAGCGGTGATTGTATAAAAGAATTTGGAAGGGTTTAGAATTTAGGAATATTTTAGTCTATTAGAAGTTGCGCGAAGTAAAATTAAATTATGTTTAGCAATTCAGTTGAGGATTGAGTTTGAGATTACAAATTTTTCAATGGGAAATAAAATGAAAGAGTAATCTACAAGACAGTAATAGCAGATAGGATGATTAAAAATAAATTAGCACCAAAGTGTTAAGAAGATAAATTGATATCCTTCTCTTCTTGACGGGCCCATTATAGACGACGGTGCTAATGAGTTGATTCAGTGACGGTACGAAGAAGAATGGAAGACAGAAGAAGAGACAGAGGACGTAGCTTCCACACCTAAACAACACAACTTAACAGTCAAATAAGAATTTCCCAAACCTAACGTTCCTCGTAAACGCATCTTTGTTTTTTTTCGTTTCTTAATTCCAATTTTAATTTGCCAAATTCTAAACCACAAATAGGATAATGTTAACTTCGTACCGTTTCGGGCAACCTCTAATCTTCTTCCTACTTAAAATCGTAAAAGGGAAAAAAAAAAAAAAAAAGAATATTAGCTGCTTGGCTTAGTTTTTAAGGAACCCAAAAATATTCTTCCCTCGTTGAAATCGCTGAAGCCGCCATAGAATTTGTAACACAGTATGGCAAGGACAGGGAACAAGAATATACAAGCCAAGCTGGTGGGTATGTCCTTCCTTCATTTTTTTTTTAATGCTTGATTAGTATGTGATAATAATAACAGTATAATTAAGTTCCTTATGTTCCTGCTGTTTATGTTAAAGTTCAATCATGTCTAATTCCATGATCAATGTAGATGGTGTTTACAGATAACCCAAATTTGTTTTCTTTAAGAAAAGCCTGCCTGTATTAGTTTGGGTGGACGATGTGATGAACTGATTGATGATCGTCTTGGGATTGTAGTAGCACTTTGCTGAAATTACAAAGAAAAGAAGAGTCTTTTCCTCGGAGATTTTCAGGGATACTTTTGTTACTTATATGTAATTAATGTTGCAGTAGTTGACAAGGTATTCTGGCCTTTTTCCTAGGTTGTTCTTGGGGACATGGGGACTGGAAAGACCAGTTTAGTTTTAAGGTTTGTCAAGGGCCAGTTCCATGATTATGAGGTAAGCTAAACTTAACCTTAACCCCCCTTTCTTACTCAGAGGGCGCATTGTTTTCACTTGTTATTGTGTAGGCTTGAGTACTTCTGGTTCACGCATAATACGTAGTGATTTTGAATTCTGATTCATATGAAATTAGGAATCAACCATTGGAGCAGCATTTTTCACTCAAGTTTTGTCACTGCCTGATGCTGCCATCAAATTTGATGTATGGGATACAGCAGGTCAGGAGAGGTATCACAGCTTAGCTCCAATGTACTATCGCGGCGCAGCTGCTGCGATTGTGGTGTACGATATCACGAATATGGTACTACTCTCTTTCCTGTCTTTTTACTCTATATCTGGTTTTGAGTGTTATAGCTGATTCTACCAATTGGGTTGAATAAAATTAAAGCTGGAACATTATTACATGGAGGAGGAAGCCATTTGAAAGAGGAGATATCTGATTTCATCATTCTCTATGTATACAGAGTTAACTAGGAGTAAGACTGACTTCAGTTGATTGATTATTAATTTCAGGATTCCTTTGAACGAGGCAAAAAATGGGTTCAACAGCTGCAAAGACATGGTAAGATTGTTAATTAAGGAACCATCTGCCTAAGCATTCTTTACTGTTCTTGATCACAAAGCTGGGGACCGGATATGAACTTTCTCCTCATTTTGACCATAAGAGACTAAGAAGGACTTTACCATAATTTAGCTTCGACATTAATGATAGTGTAAGATTGTATGCATGAACTTGATTCAATTTTAACTAATTTTATTGTTCCTTAGGAAATGCCTCCATGGTTGTGGCTCTGGTGGCGAACAAGTCGGACTTGGAATCTAACAGAGTTGTGGAAAATGAGGTACTTAAGATTTTCACGTATTTTGTTGTTGTACATGTCAAACTTATTGTCTTTATTCGAAAATCACACTGATGAAAGCCCGTTAACTGTTACCATACCACCTAGCTAAACTATCAGTATTTAAGTTGGTATTGTGCCTTTGATCTATTGTCCAATAATTTAATGTTCTTCTCTTACTCTGCGAAGCCTTTTCCACCATCGCTTAACTACTAGGGCTCTTCCCTTGTTCAAAACAACTATGCAGGAAGGAGAGCGGTATGCCAAAGAGAATCACTTGCTATTCTTTGAAGCTTCAGCAAAAACAGCACATAACGTTAATGAGCTGTTTTACGAAATAGGTAATTATTTCATAGAGGTTCATGATTATCATGCATCAACGTATTAATTGCCACCGAAAACATTGTGCTTTTATAACAATCCTGATTGTGTTTGTCTATCTTGAGGAATTATAGCAAGTTCAATCAATCTAACCTCAATGCACATGGTAGGAAATCACAAACAACTCTGATTGTGGACTCTGAATTAGCTGCTCCAGAATCCATATTCTTGGTAGTACCGTTAGAAAACAGTTTCATCAATAGAATTAGAAAATAAAGTACAAAAACAAGACAAATGATAATTGTACATCATGTGATGTTTGTAGACAGATTACAATGGCAATTGCTGATAAAAAAATTTGGTTCACTTTTCCTCCCTTTTTGTTTTCGGGACAGCTAAAGCAGTAGCAGTGGCATCACTAAACCAACAAAGTGGGATGAAACTACAAAGAAGACCTGACGATTTGGGAAGGCGACTGTTCTGCTGTTCGAGTTGATCAACTTGATTACTGATATCATATATGTAAATTATTCCCCTGATATCCTGCTTTCACATTTTCATAGAATTCTAATGAGTTCGAGAGGAATGGTTCCTTTCTTTTATGGTTCAGTTGGGTTTGCCGCGCGTTCTTTTGCATATTGGTCATGCACTTTTGCTCAAATTGTATCATATAACTCATGTTCCCTAGAAGAACAGGATCCCTTCTCGTGCTATTGTTTTGAACAGAATCAAGCTAGGGATGTTTTGAATTACCTTGATGATCATTGTAACCATCCCTATGGTCCTGTGGATTGTCCTCTACAAAGAGGCCAAGTTTGCAAGAATCAAAACTTTTGGTTAAAAAAACTAACACAAGGAGCAAAAGCTGCTGCATTTAACTAAAGAATCCAATAAAGCCATAAAGATGCAGGGACGTTGATCTAATAAAAGAAAACAGCAGTTTCATGCTCCGACAACTGAAGCTTCTTCTTTTCATGGGACCTGATCTTTTTTTCCATTTGCCTAGATACTAACGGCTAACTCATCTTATTCAAAGTGGACAAAAGCAAAAGCACAAATTGGCAAACTTGGCCCTCTTCATGCATGGAAATCAGCAATTTAATTAAAGCATACAACAAAAGCTCATGAAAAACAGAGATTTTCTTTGCCATTTCTTTCTTCCTTTGGTCCACCTACCTCTCTTTCACGTGCAAACGTTATAATCCCAACACGAATCAGGGGTCGAACGCCTTGTTTCCTCTTCCTATGGCTAATAGACAAAGCTAAAAAAATTAATCCAGAAAAATAAAAATGGCATTCTTGAACTAAGCAAGCGGGGTAAGTGAATACAAAAAACTAGAGTACACAAAGAAAGGGACATTTTGGATTACATAGGCGTGGTTCTGGGTTGAAGAGCTAGTCACGCCTGAAACGAAAAGCTGCCAAAAAAATTTTCTTCCCTTTTTCCCGAATGAGTCTGAGATTTAACTTTCGCAGCAACTTTTCTCTGTGACACCCAAATTACGAGGTAACCTTCAGAAACCTAAGTTCTGAATTTTTTTCACCAGGATGGAGATGTTGTACAAGGAGACCCTGATGATAATATTGATGAAATAACTTCATTGTTGCTGTTGGATTCACTGCCTGAAGTTGGCAACGAACGAGGGTCCCTGAGACTAATTGAAATTCCCTCAGCAGGAAGCTTTTTCATTGGAGTTAATGGAGGAGTAGTTATTGGTGAAGATTGAACAACGTGTTTCTCTTCTTCTTCTTCTTCTCCTCCAATGGACGAATTACCATTGGTTTCTAGACGAGAAGGCGAGGAATCGGGCGTTTCAAACGGTGTATCCAGCCTCCTGCTAGAGAATCTGTTAGAATTGTTGTCGTAAATTGGATTGCAAATGTAGATATACGTTTCCTTGCTGCTGCCACCACAATCTTGTTGATCATCATCATAAGTGCCACTGGTGCATTGATGGTGAGGAACCTCGTACACGAGTTTTGGAGGTGCAAGCTTCACGAACGAAGGGGAAGATTCCAGCGAAAACGCGGTAGCCCGGGTGCGATAATCAGGGCTCGACCTGATTTCTTGAATCGGGGAATCGAAAACTTTATCATAAAGCCGAACAGAATGTTGCTTCTCCAGGTCAACAGCAGCATTGCCATGATGAAGTGAAGGAAAGAGCAAGTTTCTTGGAGCATTTAGAACACCTTGAGCATAGAAATCACTGAGAGATGGAGTCACAGAACGCTTCTGCTCAGAATTAGTAGTACCAATGGCTGTGGGAGCCATGGATATGGGAAATGTAGAAGTTAGAGACGATTTGGAATTTCGCCGGCGGCGGCGAAGTAACATGGAGCAGTAGAGCTCAGCTAAGAGAATTATGATTAGGCCTAACAGTATAGCAATGCCCACTATCATTACCAGTGTTGCTCCCATGATTACTTTGGACGAATCCTTCATCTCTCTTAATTTCTGACTCACTCTAAGATCCCTCTATACTGAGTAATTAGGATTCAGGAGGTTAGGGAAAAAGGAACGGGAGTGTTAATATATATTGGTGGAAGGCCTAAACCCGGAAAGCATTGAAGATGACAAAAAGATTTTGGCGGGTAAAACTTTCTTCAACATTGAAGCTTTATTTTAGTCATCGCTTTACGGTTTCTCACCCATTTGGCAGAATATTTTAGTCGTAAACATAGAGGGCATCTTTTCTTGCTGGGAATATTGGAGTAGGCTTTTTCCTTCTTTATTTTTTTCACATTTGGTCAATAGTGGAGATACTGACACTGTAAATTTACAATGTGCTTATAAGCCAATTTGTTTACCGAGAAAGGAAAAGGGACTCTGGCTCATCCCCACGGTCTGCAACTCTGCATTTTGAACGTGACAAAGGAACCTCGATTAGCTAATCAGTGGAAAGAGCTAACATTCGACCGAAAAAATAACCGAATTGCACTCTTCTGGCAGCAAGCAAGCAAGCTAAAATTTCACCAAATCTCAAGACTTCAACTGTCACAATCATGAAGACAATGAAAAAAATGTAGTTTGAAGTAGATTGAATGATACTACCTTCCAGGGACACTCATGACAATTGAAAAACCCAACCTTAAAATCAATCTCAATTGTCATGTAAAAGAATCCTTAGGTATATTTATACAATAGCGTATTTTTCAGGAACCTCATCTATAGATATAGTATATTAAGTCAATAGCATAAACTTAAAAAACAGTTGCACAAACTTTCTAGTGGTGTTACTTCAATCATTCATCTAATCTACCCAAGCAACAGTTCGAGTATAGCAAGGCTCCTCATATCAATAATTACTACCAGAGCAAGGATTCTAAAATGCTCGTAGGTCAAAGAAGAAGATATAAAGAATGTAGAAGAGCTAATTGAATAAAAGCACACCATCTCAGCTTCCAATGCTCTTTATAAGCCTTTTAATGCAGCGAAGCGAGCAGCCAAATCATCATAATTAGGTAACTTGGGGTGGACATGCTTAGCCTGACCGTCTGGCTGAAAAGAATTTGCACGAGTATAAATTTTCTTGTGCTCAGCTGAAAATGTTTCTTCACGAGGTAGAGATTTAGATCTTGTAGGAGTGGCTATATTCTCATCTAGGCTCAAATGACTCCCTTCACTCTTCCTCGCATGAGAAGATTCACCAGCATCATGATGTCGATTTGCTTGCAATTCTTTCCTCAATGTTTTCACATCACAAGTTGACGGTTTCTTACTATAGTGTAGCAGAAGTTTATCAATCACCCTTTCATCATCATATTTAGCAGAATGTTCATCATCAAGCAGGGTTTGCAACCCTTTACGTGAGCTGTCCCTTCTCCTGGAACTTCTCTTTAAAGCTCCAGCTTCTTCGGAATGAACTACAGATGAGCTTTTGTGATGCTTTCTCCTAGAAGACCTTTGTTTCCGCAAGTTATGATCATCCTGGTAATACAGCTCTGTTTGATGAACATGATCAAGTGTAGCAGGTCCAACTAGTTGTCCATGGTCTCCAACACTATTTTGCTTCTTTTGGATTGAATGTGACCCGTTCTGTTCATTGGCCGTGTTGTATGACTCGGGCTCTGCCAAACACCCATTATGGTCAGATCCTCCTTGCTCAGATTTTGTCACAGATTTGTGCTTATCTTTGGATTTGACATATGGAGGAACACTATTCTTTGGTTTCACGTAAGGTGGAGGAAGTAAAGCATTATGGTGGAACTTTGATCTATCTTCCTTTTCCTCAGTGTCTATCCTTTTTAGGCTTGTCAGATTGTTTTTTCTCACGTGCTCACGAGCATATGAGATATCATCATTCTCCCCTAGTAATACCTCTCGATGTGGTGACACCCCATTCTTTCTGTGAGATAAAGCTCGCAACTTCTCATCCGGTTGTATAATGCTGATCCCATTTTCTTGACTAGAATTTCTACTACCAAAATTGTTTTCATGTTTCCTATGGGATGGAGAGCCAACTTTGACAACCCTGAGTAAACTATCATCTTTTTTACTTGAATTTTTGGGTTCATCCACTATGACTTCCTGCCTTGCCTCCAATAAATTCTCGTCGTTGCCTCGCTTTGTAGTACTTTCTCCCTTCTTTTCCTTCTCAGTTGGAAATATGTGTCCCTTACTGCTTCTTTCCTTCCTTGCATTCAAAATATAGCCCAACTCCTTTCTTCCTAAATTCTCACACTCTCTACCATTCTGCATGTTGTAGCCGTCCTTGCCCAATCCCCACATCCCCTTATGTTTATCTGGCTTTGAAACACCACCAATCCCATCCACGACATGAAATTCATCCACAGCAACCCTAGAAGGTTCATGCTTAGGTGATGGAGCCTGGAGACCATTACCAAAGAATCAAAGGCAATTTACATTTTTGGTTTGTAAAACAGCCTATTTAATAAACTCTTCTCTTTGCTTTCTTTTCAATGAGCAAAAATCAATTCAACTAAATAAACATACCTGGGCAACTGGAGATGGGCTAGCCATTCTTTGCTCAAATCCTCTGGAGTCCCACTTAATTGAAAACTCTGATGTTATATCCTTCAGTAATTGTAGTCTCTTTTCGAAGCTAGGAGGCTTTGACGATAATAAGTCGACAAACTACAATCAGAAGCAAACTGTAAGGTAAAGATATTGGGGCAAAAATATACTGTCCAAAATTCAGCTACTGTGGAAACAAAGGAGGTTTCACCTTTTGATTAACATAAGATTGCAGAGAACTTCCATATCTCTCCTGGAATAAATCCCTAAGATCTCTTAGTTCAGGTAAATCGGAGAATCTTGCCGCAGCAAACATTAGTGATGCAACAGGCTCTCTGAATTCTTCCGGGCATTCCCTGATATGAAAACAAATCAGGAGGCATGTCAATATAAAATAGACACTAAGCGCTCCCAACATATACACACTGAAAGAGCTTTCCATGATGAATTATGACTAAGATGAAAAACATCTCCAACTATATCACGATCAAACATTCACCAAACTAAGCAGTATTTGAATTTAATATGTATGGAGCCCTGTTAACTAATAATCATCCCTCAAAGTTAAATGTTCATTGTACACAAGGAACATGCTTTATCAAAACTTTTAATTTCATAGGAACGTACAGTATGCACATCTTAAGAATCCACCTCGTTACAAGTGGAGGTATAACCATTTCAACTAGAAAATCAAGTACATTTCATATTTCAAAAATGTAGGAGGGTGCAGTCCTGATTGATAATAATGATGGACCTTGACATAACAGTAGTTTGAAAGAAAGAAAACTCAAATAATACCTTTGTTTTTGCATGATGGAAAGCTGCTTCACTATATAATCACACGAATACTCGATAAAGCCATAGCAGGACAATAGATTGAGTCCAGCTATGAATTCTTCAGTCTGCAATCACCCCACCAAATAAAAAACACAAGAACTATAACAATTAAGAAAGATAATAGAATGGTGTACAAGAACAATGAAGAAGAAGAACTGAGATTGCGAGAAAAACAATCTGAATCTCTAGTTGCCAGGATAATTTAATGAAATTTCTTAAACAAAAGGTATCATTTCTAAACATTCAGATTAGAGCTCGGATTGCACTCATTCAAATTTTAATTTCAAACGATTGAAAAAAGAAATCGAAGTGAAAATTTTCAAATGTCAATCCTCCCTGAAAACAATATTTGAAACTTGAAACAGTTCAATTCCAGATGTGAAAGAGAAACGGAAGCAACGACAAAGCATAAGAAACAAAAATAAAAAATAAAAAAAATATCACAATCTATGAAAGCATCACCATCAAATAAGATAATTAAAGGAAAACAACAAAATACTGTGGATATGTAAATGGTGATTACCCTTCCGTAAGCATTAATATCAAGACCGTTAGCAAGCAACTTGGCGAGATCCTCCTTGAGAAACCTCTGTTTCGCCTCCGCTCTCTTCCTCACCACTTCGATCCTCGTCCTTATCGCCTTTATTAGAGATTTGCTGCACACACACACATACACACACACACACAGAATACATTCAAAATTTGAAAAATTATCTCCGCCACTGAAAATCCGCAACAGCTCCAAAAACACACACACACACACACAGAAACCGGATGAAGAATCGATGAAGAAAGAGAAAAATACCATTTGGAGCTGAAGCCGCTCTTCAGAATACCGTCGAGCATCTTCACTTCCAAAGCCGATCTAATTGAGATTGCTCCAAACTTTCTTATAACGGAAATGCGAAGAAGTAATGAAATTCAAAACTATCTGAGTAGCTGAATTTAATCTGCCAAAAAAGTGAAGAGTAATTTTATATATATATATATTGAAGAGATCGGGACAAAAAAAGAAGTTGTTAGTGGAATGCTGTTGGTGTTTTACGAGCTCCTCCTGAATCTCTCTCTCAGTCTCAGGAAAGAAGGAAAAAATTGGGAGCATTTATTTGTTTTTTGTTTTGGACTTTTTTTCGTACTGGAGTCGCGTCACATGGGATTATGGACTGAGAGGAGCAATATTTATTGATTCTTTTTTTACATGACAACGGTGGGTAGTCAATCAGTCAATTTCATTTTCAAACTGCTATCTATATCTTTTTATTTCCGTTATTATTGGGTTTAGTACCATTACTACTATTTTTTTAAAAAAATTATTGGGTACAATTCCTGTATTCTGGTTTTAAGTGCAACAAGTATTAATAATCTCTACTTTAGTGATATAACTCTCGTAAAAATTATCTCTCTCCCTCCAAAATTATTACTTTACTCTTATTATTGTGTCTAACTGCACAATCTTACGTGATACCTCAGCACTGAATAATTTCTCATTTTTTTTATCCATTTCTTTTTTCCTTTGTGAGGACCCCGGGCTTTGTTGTTTGGTTTTGTTTCTATTCTCATGTCTTTTTTCTACCACCCTTTTGTTTTTTTCGTTTGTGACATAAAGATTTTCTTATTTTGGCAGAAAAAATTTACAACCTACTAATAGATAAGATTATAGGTAGAATGCAATGCAAATATAGAAGTTAAAATTCTTAATTACTGATATTATGTAGTACGTTTAAAAATCTACTTGTTAGATTAGCTTTTTGCTACATTTGCAAAATTCTCAAGATTACTCTATCTTAAACCACTAGCTATTTATATAGGATGGATAGAGAGTGAATTTGTGTAATCTAATCTCCAAGTATGTCCTGGTAGTCAATGCATAAAAGATAAACATTATTTTGTTATTCGTGAGTCATTACAAAATTGAAATCGAATGAAATCGCTATTCTATGTTCATTTGTGAAATATTGAAATTCGGCGGTATACTTCAAAACAATTATTATCTATCTAAACAAAATTACAAATTGCTGGTAGAAAACTCACTTCAAAATGTTATTTTGAGAAACGCTTTTGGTTCTAAAATTCAAAAAAGTAAAAGTAAAATGAAGATTTTGATTTGGAAAATATAAACCATGTGTAACATCTATGTTTTTGGTTTTGGACATGATTCTAGTACACCAACTAAATGATAAATACCTTCTCCATTATCTACTCAACTCCAAACCTTTCAACAACTTTGAAAATTTTCAATTTTCCATCATTATCTTTTGTGATTTTATTCTACAAGAATAGGGTCCGCCGTTCCAAAATTTCATCATGATCAATTTTTAGTTAGTGCTTCTGGTAATCAAATGTCTTTGCCATCTCTCTCTCTCCTTTTGGGATGGCTGGTTTAGTTTACTCTCTTTAATCCACCAATCAGCACAATGCACATAACATAGTTTTAAGGGACAAAGAAATAAACAAAATTCATAAAATGACTACAATATATAGCTTTTCCAAAAAAAAAAAAGAAAAAAAAAAGACTACAACATATAGTGATAAAATGTCTCTTTTATTATTTCGAATAGGTTATTTCATCAATATCTATTTACACGATTAAAATCGAAACGTGCTAAGCCAATCTCAATCTAAAATACATACATAAAAAGTCTCTCTCTGTCATTGATGATCAAATTGCAAAAGATTACAAGAAAGAAAGCTAAATATAGCAAATGATGGACAAATCACCACGATCACTTTTGGTTTCTGTGGGCTAAGATTTACAACAATTTAGGGGTAGCTTTCCACTTTTCCTTCCAACGCTCTCATAAGCCTTCCAAGCAGACATATTTCGTCAGAGGAAGTGATGTTGTAACCGAACAACGGTAATGGTTAAATGATGTCCACAAACGATTATCTTCACAGCTGTGGAAACTTTTTATTGAATGTTCTTGGTGTGCCTGTGACATTCATTCACTCATTCATTCTATAGGTACCGCAACAAACTCTTCCAAAAGCAGGTATTGATGGATCCTCAACTTTATCATTTTGGCAGTTTTCCATTTTAAATTAATAATGGAACTAATACTTGCTTGGCCAAAGTGATAAGGTGCTTTGGTTCCTTTAAACGAGGTCTTCGGGTTTGAGTCTTGTGAATGGAAAGAACAATGTTGGGAGAGTTTTCCCTCCAAAAGAAGACCGACCCGGCTCGGTACGGATTAGTTTGAGTGCAATGCATTTGGGACACTGTGCGCAGTATGAAAAAATAATAATAATAATGGGTAATTGGATATGGGATAGCATATTGAACAGTTTCAATGGATAGCACTTTCATTTCTTCTCTGGGCTTTTGCCAAACTGGCTTTTGGGTTTTAGTAACAAAAAGCTCAATGAGAATGAGCCTAACTAATTCAGTAGGAAACGGTCCGCCTTCCAAAATGCCTCAAAAGTCCCAAGTGACTGTAGTTATTTCCCATGACAAACATCATATAACTCAAATGGTTAATAACGTCAACAGAAAAGGTGATCATTGTTGAGGAAATAAAAAAAAAAAAAAAGAAGAGAGAGAGAGAAGAAGAAGAAGAAGATGAAAGGTGATCATTATCATAATTAATCTAGCTTTTTTGGATTGTAAGAATTACTCCAGCTTATGTAGGCAGCCAGCTCACCAAGAATTCCACTTTGAAAACCACATACTTCAAGGACCAGTTGTGAAGTGGCAATTATAAACTTAGCACTTAGGCCCGTTTGGTTAGATTGAATTGCAATTGAATTGAAATTACAATATTATTAAATTAAAAATGAGATATTAATATTATAATTCAATCTCAATTCTCTTGTTTGGGAGATCTTGAAAATTTACTAGAATTAAGGTTCTAATTACAATTCTTGCATGTGGATGCATAAAAATTTAAATACTTTAGAATTGAAATTAGTTTGTTATTGTATAACTAATACTAGTACAATTTATACCTCTTGTCAAAAAATTTTTTTATAAAAAAACTTATTTTATTATGGATATGTATAACACAAAAAAATAAATAAATTCATTATGTACATGTATATTTGACTACTTTGTGGTTGTTTAACTATTACAATTTTTACTTTTTTTTTGTTAAAACGAATTATTATCATTAATTAATTTGCTATATCAATTTGTAATTTATTATGTACACACATTTTTGTTGGAAACAAAAGAAATATTATTACGTATAAGAACTATTAATATGATACTTAAAATTCTCACTTAATACACAAACAAGTAACACGTAAAACATCTTTGTTTTCCTCTCTTTTATTATTTTTCAAAATTTTTAATTTTTGATATTTTGATTTATATCAAAAATTAAAGAGGTTTTTATTATATAACATTGTAAATTCAGTTTATGAATATCGGGGTTCATTTATACATATATTAACATTAGTATATAATATATGCTTAAATGTTTTTATTTTTAGTATATAATTATATATGAAATAATAGATATTTAAAATTTAACTGATATAATCTTTTGTGAAAAGATGCCATGAATAGTTAAAATATATATATATATATGTATGTATTATAATATATGTGTATATATGGAACAATTTCTATTAAAAAAATAAAAATGTTATGTTGTTTACTATGTCATAATATAATAAAAATATTAACCAAAACTAAAATATTTAGTTATTAATTTTTTTTGGTTACAACTATACTTTTGATTTTTTTGTAAAAAAGATACAATGTTAGTTTTAGATGATTTTGTTGATAATTTAAAATGATATATATGAAATAATAATAATAATAATAATAATAATAATAATAATAATAATAATAAGACAAACAGCCCAAAAAAAAGAAAAAAAAAAAAAGAAAAGAAAAACGCCAGGAAGCGCTAAAAGCAAAAAAAGAAAAAGAAAAAAGCTGAAAAAAATAAAATTATAAAAAATATATTCAAAAAAAGGCCAAAAGACAAAATTGATAGGACGACCTAGGTTATAACCCGGAAACGACCCGGCTTTGACCCGCATGTTTTTTTAAGTGCCTTGAATTTGGATTCTAATTATTTGCTTCCACAAAAGAATTGAAAATAAAGAATTGAGACCCATCTTGAATTATAATTACAATTCTTGGACCTCTATTTTTAGCAACCAAATACAAGAATTGGAATTAGAGAGCTCCAATTCCAATTCTTAGTCCCAATTCAATGCAACCAAACAAAGCCTTAATTTAATTCAAGCTCCTACACTAAGGCCACCCTCATGCTAATCTTTCATCCTAGCTAGCAAACTAAATTCAAGAATTTACAATTAACCCAACGGCCTGAGACTGTGATAGATACCCGAACTTATCATTTCGGAATGTAAGAAATGCTTTTTTTTTTTTTTTTTACCTTAAACAAGTTCGAGTTAAGGTCTGTGATAACAAACGTTAGCATATAATTAAAATATAAAACGGTTTAATGTAAACAACAATCATCATTTTGCAATTGCACTCTTTCATAATATAAGAGTGAAATATCCAGGAAGTACATTAAGCTATGCGAAAGCCCGCAGTTTGGTCACTACTAAATTTTAATTCATAAAAGATTACTACACTATGAACAATGCTTGAAATTGGTCATTCCATTAGTTAATTATAATTATTTATTATCTTTATCATTTTGATCCTTTTAGTTATGATTAAAAACGTTTTGCCCCTCAATTCTTGTTTTGTTTCATGTATTCATTTTTTATTTTTTTTTTCTCTCTTCTATACTTTTCTCTTTTTTTCTTTTGTAATTTCTTTTTAGAAAATATTAATTAGATATTAAAAAAATTTAATTTGACAATTTTTTAATTAAGCCACAGGCCAACTGATTATAGTTGCGGCTCAGTTTTTGGATAGGGGTTTTTACGGAGCATAGAGTAAAAATCTTATAATGAGTTAAAAATCAGAAACCAACGATTGAGTAAGGATCAGAATCCCAATTGGATTAGGAAGTAGGAAGGATGTTTACTTATTCCCTTAGTAACTTAAATTATTATCATATATACCCTCAATAATTTTCGCCTATTCATGCCATCATAATTCAAATTGTCAAAATGGAAAATAAATCAATTGGATACAAAACTTATGTAGCATTAACTATTGATTCATTTTCCATTTTGACAACATTGGAACAACATTGTTTGTTCTCATGATTTGGTGGTATTATCCACCGGATTAAACTCCGTAGATGTGACTGAAGGTTCTCAAAACTACGATCCGGGTCGCCGGCGGTTGGGTTCCTGATCAGCTTCTAGACCTAAAATCTGATGATATCGACATTGCAATTGACAACCTGAAAGGGGTTGAGTTTCTTGACATGGTCAACCGTCACTTGTCATCAGTACCCAAAGAATTTGATGCTATTAAGAAAAGTAACCCTCCTGAACAAGAATCAAAGCTCCAGCTGGAAATATAGCAAGCTTGTTCTTGTTCAATGTGTCCCTAGATATTACTAACCTCAGATCTTTTGAAGATGGCGATTTTGCCACCCCAGAAGATGATGCATATAGACGGGAATTGACCATTAACAGCTTGTTTTACAACATTCAATATGATTCCGTTGAGGACTTCACTGGAAGAGGAATCCCGGATTTGATGTCTGGAAGAACAGTCACTCCATTACCTCCCAAGAAGTCATTTCTTGATGATCCTGTGAGTGTTCTCCGCGCCACACGCTTTGGGGCTCGTCTTGGTTTTGAATTGGATCAAGACTTGAAAATGGCTGCTTCTGATGATGAAGTCCGAGCTGCTATGGCAGCTGGAAATGTCAACAGAGAACGTATTGCGCGTGAAATCCATCTCACTGTATCCGGGAATCAACCCACAAAAGCAATGGCTTACATTTGCGAGTTTGGGTATTTTGAGACTGTTTTCTCTCTCCCTGAGAAATCTGAGCCTGGAAAAATTTCAACGGATATGACAGATTTTGTGTTGCTCATATGGATTTCGCATGGAAAATTTTGTAAGCATTTGATGAACGTCATCATCCTTTCACGGTGAAACAGAGGAAGCTCTGTCTTTATGCTGCTCTGTTCTTTCTATTGAGAGGGACAGTATACTACACTAACAGGAAATCTAATACTAACAGCTTTCCTGTGATCAAATACATATGTCGCAATTCTCTCAAGCTGAAGTTAAGTGATGCAGATACCGTCATGAAATTGTATACTGCAGCTCAAGGATTTGTTTCTCTGGTACATTTTATCGCGTCGAAAGACGAGAGGCAGTTCATTGATGTTGATTATTGGAAAGGTGAAATGATCGATGCTTCAAGAATTAGAACACTGGTTGGATTGCTGCTAGGACAGATTAAAGATAATTGGCGGCCGGCATTGGTACTCTCAATGCTCTTAACTAGCAGTCTTGTTCACTCTGATGTCACCTCTGTTGAACTGGATTTGAGCAAAGAGTTGTATAAGGTGGTTGAGGATTGGATTGTAAGGAAAGGGTTAGATGGAATTTGGGAAGTTAAGCCGGTGGTGAATGGAGCACAGATCATGAGTATTTTGGATCTCAAGACTGAGGGCTACTCGTTGGGGAATGGCAACAGAAGGTGTTTGAGTGGCAGCTTGCTCATCCCTCTGGAACTCAACAGGAATGTATTGATTGGATGATTAGAGAAGCTATAACAAACAAGATACTCCAATCACCCGTCTCAAAATGATTATCTAGTTTGTACAACGAAAACAAGTAGGACATCATCGTTTTGGGATAGGGTACAACATATTGTATGCAAATTAATACCGGCTCATTCGTTTCAATTTCATTTCTTTTTTCTTCTTTTGTTTTCCACTTTTGGCCTAATTCATTAGGAAACAGTTCAAATTCAACACTCCAGCTAGTGATGTTTCCTTTTCCCATGATAAATACTATACACATACATAGCAGTCATAAAACTCTAATGTCTACTAACCTTATTTGAAATATTGATCTTCCATTTGAAATCCTAATCTAAGACCTATCCATTCATGAACACCAAGGACCAGTTAACTGAATCTGCAGTAAACAGTAACTAGGGAAATACACAGGAAAGTCATGCACCAGAAAGCTAAATTTGTAGGTGGCAGCAAACAAACTGTGTTATCCAGTAGAAGAGAAAGAAATTAAGCCACCTATAGCACATGTCGCATAAAACCACTACAGGAAATTTTTAAGAAAAGCAAGTGAAGCAGTTGGTTGGCAGTCATCTACTGACAGTATGTTACAGTTAGAAGCATTGAGTAATTTGAAATGCATCCAGTGTCAGATAATATTTATAGAAATCATGAAGAGACCTTGACAAATCCTTTATATATCAACAATGAGATAGGTACCCTCCAACGGTATCCAACTATCCATGATAAATTCTTTATACAACAATGAAATAGGTACAATCCAACGATATTCATCGTTTTAACTTCCCAAGACACCGCCTGCGTCTAAGTGAAATCTTTGACTTTGTGGATATGGACTCATCTCCATCACTATCTTCACTGTCCAAAACGATCACTTCATCCGTATCAAATTGGGATGATGCTTCCGGTTTTTTGACCCCAACATCAACACTTCTCAAACAATCTTGCTTAGTTTGCAGCTCTTTGTCAAAGTAGCCAGGATGTTGTGCATTTGGAATCATAGATGGGTTTAAAGATTCCATTGCAGGCTGAGAGTTGACAGTTCGGCTATTGCTTAATTGAATAAGCGGTTTAAAAGAATGTCTTTGCTCTAAAGATATGGTATCCTTTTCACCTGTGTTCCCATCTTGACAAAGAACTCTATCTGATATCACTGACAAACTAGGGGATGATGAATGATATTTGCTACAGTAGGCATGGGAAAAGATAGAAATTGGTGCCAGATTTTCTTTATCGCCCTTCCCTTGACATTGATGTGAAGGAAACATACCATTAGATAAGTGCCTACCTGCCAAACCAAGCTTCTTATGTTTTTTCCTTGCAAGGCCAATCCCATCTCCATTCACAAATTCATTCTCTCTCCTTTGATGGCTGATAGCATGGGACAGAGGAAAACTCTTAGCCGGTCCAGGAGAATGCATTGGGGTGGAAGATTGCTGAGCAACAGGAAGCAAATTTTCATCATCCATGGGCTCTTTTTTTGAGTCAAGAGACTGCAGCAATTCCTCTAACTTGACAGATACGCTTTTACATTTTGAACTTTCATCACACTGATCAGGTCTCGGCTGACAAATGGAACCAGCCTGCACCAAAGGTAATGATGATGAACAATCTGTTTTTGAGGTGGATATCCCCTTGCTTGAAACCAGAGTGTTTATTTTATTATCCTTTTTCAGATGAAATGAAACCAAAGGATCTAGTGAAAGTTTCTTGCACCTTGGCAGACCATTTTGGCTTTCAAATTGCTCACCTAGCATTTCATTTGACTCTTGCTTCCGTTTCACAGTTTCTTGCTCATTATCCCTTTTCACATGAACTGAAACCAAAGGATCTAATGAGAGTTTCTTGCTTGTCCTGGGCAACTTTTTGGGGCTTTGAATTTGCTTGCGTGGCATTTCATTTGACTCTTGCTTCCATTTCACATTTTCTTCCACATTATCCTTTTTCACGTGAAGTGAAACCGAAGCATCTACTGAAAGTTTCTGACTCATCCTGAGTAGCTTTTTGGGGCTATGGATTTGCTCACTTAGTGTCTCATTTGACTCTTGCTTCCATTTCACAGTTTCTTGCACATTATCCTTTTCCACATGAAGTGAAACCGAAGGATTTAATGAAAGTTTCTTGCTCATTCTGGGTAGCTTTTTGGGGCTTTGAATCCGCTCGCTTGGCATCTCATTTAACTCTTGCTTCCATTTCATAGTTTCTTGATCATTATCCTTTTTCACATGAAGTGAAAGCAAAGGATCTAATGTCAGTTTCTTGCTGATCCTGGGCAGCTCTTCTGGACTCTGAAATTGCTCGCTTGGCATTCCATTTTTCACTTGTTTGCATCCTTTAAATTCCTCCTCTTTACCAGCTAGATTCTCATTGGGAACCCCATTTTCTTTCTTCCCGACATCCCTTTCCCTGTCCAATTCTGAAGATTCTAGCGACAACTTCCTGCTTATCCCAAACGATCTCTTATTACCAACTATGCACTGATTCCCTTCTTGCATTGATGTATCTGACCCTGTAGCCTCAACCTGGGAAAAAAGGGCACTTGCTTGAACCAGATCATTTGACTTAAGTATTGTGATATCTCAAATTAAACATGATAACTTACCAAGTCAACGCCTGGATTCAGAATAGTCTGACAATCTTTGCCAGCACCAGCAACTTCACATGATCCAATGCGAGCATACTTTTCAGTCATAGATCTCGCCTTCTGGTCAAAAACTTGCTTGTTGTATTTGTATTCTTGGCTCTGCACATTTTTATAGGATAAGAATTGGTGTAATGAAGTGAGCAGCCTTGCTCTTCAGTAGGGTATCAACTAGGGAAAGTTTACTCACAGCTTCATGCATTAGGCCGTCATCAGGATTTGGTTCACTGAGCAGCAGTCCAATACTAGTTAAAACAGTTGAAATATTCAAAGATGGTTGCCAGGCGCCCTGCAAAGTTGAAACCATCGTATTCAAGCAGAGAGAAAACAATCGTTGCAAAAGCAGTGCATTTTTCCCGCTGGTCTAGCAACATCCTACATCATGTATGCAGTAGCTAAACAGTTCATCTCTAAAGTAATTCACTTTCCCAGATACGACTCCTCAAATTATTGTAGAAACAGTATCCGGCATAAAAGTCCCTGCATAAAGCTCCTTCAGGCAACAATTTTCTGCCAAGTATCAGTAAACAAACATGCTCCATGTAAGCAAGCGCAGTATAGTTCAATACTGCATGACCACGGCCATTACATTTTCCACCCTTATGATGGTTGTCCATTATGGTTCTAAATTAGTACTCAAAAAGTGATCAGTATCTACATTCCCTAGAAAAACCAAAGAATAAATTCGGTAGCCCTAATAACAGTGGATGCATTGAAGCCCAAAATTAAGAACTTTCTAATGAGAATGGCAAAAGTTAAAAAAGATATCAAATATGAATGGATGAATTAAACCTTAGGAGGAAGGTTGAGGATATCCAAGCAAATGCGGCCTCCGGTGTCTATGTTTGGATGATAAATAGGCGTGGCAAAAGTCACAATCGGCGGCTGAAATGGGTAACTGTGCAGCAAATGATCTCAATTTCATCCCAGATAAATTCACCAAAGGGGAACCAAGGGAAAAAAAAAGACCAGAAACAGTTCCACATAAAAAAAAAAAAAGGACATCAATACCTGTCAGGTATTTGAACCTTTAACTTAAAGAATCCTTTAGCATATACTGTCCCTTCTGGACCTTCAATCACTGAGAATAAACCAAAACCCTTAAAAAATACAGTGGAGAAATATATACAGATTACTGACAAAATTCCATTCAATGCACTTACGGGCTTCGATGGAAGAAAGTGAGGGGCCGGAGGAGGAGGAAGAGGAGTCGGCGGAGAGAGAAGGAAACGAAGCGCCGGGAGGTGGGTCGGAGAGGAGTAACTTGAGCTCCTTCTGCATTCGGAGATTGAGTCTCGCTGCTTGAGCCATCTTTCTCGATTTCGAAGACGAAGCTTTGAAATTGGGTTTCGGTGGTTCGGAGATTAACCTCTGAACTGTTCCATTTGTGAAAAATTCAAAAGGGATTTGGTGGAGGGAGATGGTGAAATGGGCGGGTTTGCTGGAGTTTTCAAGTGCCAAGAAAATTAAGTGGGAAAGGGGGGATTTTGTTTTGGGGGGTTTAAAAATGGCAAAAAAATTGTCGTCTGTGTTGAGAGTGGGATTTGAACCCACGCCCTTTCGGACCAGAACCTTAATCTGGCGCCTTAGACCAACTCGGCCATCTCAACCTTAATGCTTCAGTGTACTTAAGTTTTGTTATTTTATTCGTTTTTTCCCATCTACGATCTCCCCCAAATAAATCAATCATGTGATGATAAATGAAATAAAATAGTGATTTTTTTTTAAACAAACTTATCAATTTTCACTTTTTTCGCCAACTAAGAATATCACCTTTTACACAAGAATGATAATATCACTTGTTATTTTTTACTATGTTTTTACGTATTTGCAATGTATTAATGGTAATAATTGAGAATAACATTTGTGCGCAAATCCCGAAGTTGATGCGTGTGATTTCATGGATTTCGAGAGCATCAACCAAATTGTATCTATGGGTATGGGACACTGAGGCGTTTTCGTTTTGATGGCAATTAAAAATGCATATGCAATTAATGATGTTAGTTGGAACTAGAAAAAACTGTTGGTAGTTCGTGAAAAACTTAAAGAAGGATTTCAGCAGGATAGATGGAAGGCCAACCCTCAGGGCAGATATCTTATTCAGTTAGGTTATAAATGGTTGAAGGGGCAACTGCCAAGAAAACATAAATCTGAGTTTATTTGGAATAGAATGAGTGTACCACGGCAGAGGTTCATTGTTTGGTTGTGTTGGCAGGGTAGATTACTTACAAGGGAGGGGCTTAAAAGGCTGGGAATGGTGGCAACTGATGATGCATACCCACTTTGTAAACTGGAGGAGGAGACAGCAGACCATCTGTTCCAGCAATGTCAATACGCCCAAGAGCTCTGGTGTAAAATTCGAGATTGGATCAGATGCTCGATACAGTGGATGGAAAGAAAACACTAGGGGAAATTACCATATGTATGGCAGGGGAGGAAGGTGGTTAGAGCTATCCTGTTTGCTAGTATAGAGGCTGGATGTTATCACATATGAAAGAATAGGAACCAACAAGAGCATGAGGGACAACACATGAATACAGAAATGTGTTTGAAGAGATCATGAATGAAATACGATGGTGTGTGAAGTTTCTCTCTCATCAAAGCAGTAAAAACGAGAGAGGTCTCTTTTCTGAAAAAACTGGAAATTTTGTAATGCTAAGTAGCGCACTTTTCTATAGAGCCAGGCAGTTACAGTGTGATTTTTTTCTTTTGTAAAAGTGATGTAAATAAATGACTGGTTGAGAAAGTGCAACATAGTTTATTACCTAAAAAAATGCATATGCAGTTGGTTATTTAACCTACGAATTGATGAGCTTAGTATATTAGGATGATGGCTAAAATTCTGTGTTAATTAGTGGAAGAAGAGTAAACAATTATAAAGTTAAATAGCAAAAGATCGGAACTCTATGTTGAGAGTGGGATTTGAACCCACGCCCTTTCGGACCAGAACCTTAATCTGGCGCCTTAGACCAACTCGGCCATCTCAACCTTTGATGCACAACCTCAGCATTTAGATTCTATTCTTTTGGTTGTTCTCTCCATCAACTCCCATTTTCTGTTGAAAGTTAAAACGTCTGTCCTATTGTAGGTTAAACGTCCAAGTACTAACGATCAATCATTTAATGACCTAGATGTTAACTACAAGTCTACCAGTATACTACTGTTAACAAAGTGTCAGAATGAAAGGAATTCACTAATCCTCAAATTCACATTTTTCCATTCATCTTCTCTTTTTACTCGAATAAACTTTCCGTATATCACTTCAAATGATAAAAGAACCAAAAGATGCCATTTTCCCGTTGATTTACTTCCCAAACTTTAATCTAGAAGTCAATGAATGAGGGTATGAATAAGGGCATAACGGCAGGCAATCGGAGTAAAGGGATGTAAGCAAGAACAGTGCAAACCTAGTTATTCAAATATTTATCTTGTCCCTAAATGATTATCCTGACGGTCCTATTCCGTTTTGAAAAGGAGAAAATAGAAAAAATATCACAACTTTGTATCCTGCACATCACAGCCCCTCCCAATTTTCCCTGACCAAGTCTTCTCTTTAAATGAAATCCATGCGTTTAGACTTTAGATCCATATTTTAATAACGTTATAATTGTAGACGCTCCAATCACTACGTTTCAACAACCGTATTAAAAAAATGGAATGATACAAAGCAAAAACCGAGAGATGATTTTGCTTTAATTTGAGTTTGTACTTTGTAAAGTAAGAATTAAAAGAAAGTGGCTGATTAATGAATGCCATGATTTATGGACCAGATAAAATAAAAGAAAAAAATCCAGGCAACAAAGATCATCAAAACATTCTGTTTATACTTAAAAAAAAAAAAAACTCTATAATCAAAATTTAGGAATATAGAATGATGAATCTGGAATTCTGGGACCAAGAAGATACCTCATACCTCTCTATAGGAAGTTGGAAACCTCAAACATATGTCCCCCTCCAAAAGGGATGGTCCCAGTGACAGAGACACGCCCGGAGAGTCTGCCTCTGCCCGGTCTTTCTTTTCAAAAGTTTCAAATTCTACTCATTTTGTTTGATCCTTTCCCATTTAGTGCTACAGATTACAGACTCCTACCCCAAAAGGGTCCCCAACAACAACAACAATAACAATTTATCTCAACTCAACAACCTCCATTTCCCTTCCTCTCTCTCTCTTTTCTGTCACGTACTTACAGAGGCAGATGATCACGCAGATTCTGAATTTAGCTTTTTTCTTTATTTTGCCTCCAACAAAGCTTTGAACTTTATTTTGCTACCGACATTAATGCTGCTACTGGGTGCAACTTTTCTTGATCAAAAGTTTCCAACTTTATTAGTACTTCCGTTGTCTTCTTTCTGTTGAATTTGAACAACCCACTAGAGATAAAGTTTAGCAAAAACCCCCCATTGCCTAAAACCAACCCACATTGGGTTAATTGCAGAGGTAGAAGGCGATGAATGCGATGGGAAGGCAAATGCAGAGATCTAGTTCAACTGGGCATCATCAGCGCCAGTATTCTGATAATTTCATTGACAATGCTTTTAACAATAAGTGGCTTCGATCAGCTGGACTTCATCATCTCCAATCATCTAATTCTTCCATACCACCTCTTCAGGTTTAATGTCATTCTTGATTCTATCTTAAACCAAGGATGAGTGACAATCCTGATTGAATTGAATTTCGGTGGCTTGGTGAATAATTTGTCAATGCTTTAGCAGTTTTTTTATTTAATTATCATCTTTGATAAATATTGTTTTTTATGGGATAGTGTATGTGTGATTTTTTACTATTCTGAATTATGTAGTTGGATTTGATTATACACAGGATTTTGGATTTTTCGGTAACAGCGCCGGTAGTCAGCCTCAAGGGTCAAAATGGGTGAGGAATGGACCAAAAGGTGTAAAAAATGGAGGGGAAGAAGATGACCCTTCTTCTACTCCTCAGGCTCGTTCCAGGTCATCAAGCATGAGGAAAGATGGGAATGGAGAGGGCGTTTCGCCAGGTGAACTCAGCCATGGATTGATTGATTTGCACTCATTTGACACAGAACTTGTGCCAGAGGTGTGTATAGCTTATCTTTTTCATAATCTCATCACCTTTAGCTCAAATCCTAAGTTCTGAACTATTGTAATGAATTCTGAATAGCAAATTTATCCAATTATTGTTTTTGAGGCAAGTATGACTTGAGCTTTTCTGGTGAATCACTGGCTGATAAGTGATTGTGAATGCTTTTCTTTTTTTCTTTTTTAATCGAAGAGACAAACTTAATTTGTAATATTCAAACTGTAACTCCCAATGTGCTCATCTTGTTTTTTTTATTGAATGATCCAACTTATAGTTGTATTTCTTAGTTTTCTTTGAAATGGAGCAAGACGTTTGACAAGTTTTCCTTATCATCAGATGAATTATTGTTTTTTTCCCCTGCAGTTCCCTTCCCAGAATGATGGATCCTTCCTCAATCACCCTGCTTATGGGAGAAGTTTTGATGATTCTGCTCCATGTATCTCAGCGAAACTTAACAGGAATGGTCGTGGCTTGCCTGAAAACTATCTTCTTAAAAGCTTCTCCCTCGATGGAGAAAAAGCTAATAATAACGTAGCCAAAATCAAAGTTGTGGTATGCCAATCTTCTTTATCTGTTTAAAAATGATAGTATCAGCGTATTCCATTGTGTGCCAGCTATAGGAAGAAATATTTTAGTTACGTGCCGGAGAATTTGTAAATTGCAAATGCAGGTGCGTAAGAGGCCACTTAACAAAAAGGAAATCGCAAGAAAGGAGGAAGACATCATAGCAATAGACCCTAATAGCAATTTGCTCACTGTCTATGAGACCAAACTCAAAGTAAGTCTCTACTTGATTATGTTTATTGTAGCAATAAGTTAGCTGGTTAACATAAATTTCATTTCTTTGTTTTCTAATGTGTTGTGCTGGTATTTATAAGTCTGAGTTCTTATGATACTCATTTGTGTTCAATCACATTGTCATTGCTACAGATATCGTTCGGCCTATTGTCCTGTCTCATAACTTGTTTTCTGTAACATCTGGTTTGACACATTTTGAGTATATTTCTATGATACGTTGTTTTCAATAACATCAGCAATAGCATGATTTACGGTCAGTAAAAACACTAACTGAGTTTTCCGTTCGTTGTAATGAATGTTTTCCCCGTTCTTGTTATCAAGATACATGAAATTGACAATTCAGAGATGAAGCGTGTTCGATCAGCATTGTCCGGTCAAGACATTTGCAATTGCCATTGGTTTTTAGTGTTGTGTGCTCCATGGCAAGTTTTTCAGAAGTGACATGATGGGTGTTATCATTGCAACAAAGCCAGTTTAGTTTCACTACATACAGTCTTAAATATCTTATAAGAGCAATGTTTTCCCACATAATTGAAGAAAGCAGGGAATTTAGGAAATTTCAGGGGTACTGTTGATCCTCGATTAACTCTGCATAATATATAACATCAAATGTTCCTTGTGTTGCTTTTCTCCTGAGTTTGTCTGAGTTGCTTTTTACAACAGGTACTACTGTAGATGCTTCTTGGTGCTTGTGGTTTTTCCTTTGTCATGTTTCCTTCTCATCTACAATAATGATTTTACATATGCTGTTTTCTATTGACTGATGTTAAACTTAGTCTAAACGTACGGTACGTACCACAATTTGCAGGTTGATCTAACTGAATACGTTGAAAAGCATGAATTTGTTTTTGATGCTGTGATGAATGAAGGTGTTTCTAACGATGATGTGAGTATCAAAATTAAAGTTTTTTTTCTTTCTGCTCTGGACACATGATATGTATATTAATTTCTATATATCTTGATCCTGTAGGTGTATGCGGAAACTGTTCAGCCCATAGTCCCATTAATATTCCAAAGAACAAAAGCAACTTGCTTTGCATATGGGCAAACAGGCCAGTGTTTCACTCTCTCTTAGATGTTGTTGCTTGTAATTTGGCTGCTTGCGCTTCTGGCACATTTATACTAAAGAACTAAAGACTTTTAATTGAGAATAACGAAATTGAAGTGGTTAAGCAACTAGGAAGAGCTCAGTGTATATACTGACTTTGCTTCCTTAAATCAGCATAAAATTCTTGAAAATTGGTCATCATACTCCTTATGTTTCAATCTTAAAGCTTTCACCTCTTTTTTTCTTTTTTCTTTTTTTTTTGTCTAAATGATGAATCATTTCTGACTTGTGAGCGCTTTCCTCAGGTAGTGGAAAGACTTACACTATGCAACCATTGCCTCTCAAAGCATCAGAGAACATATTCAAATTAATGCACAACAATTATCAAAGTCAGGGATTTCAACTGTTTGTCAGTTTTTTTGAGATATATGGAGGAAAGGTTTTCGACCTACTAAATGACAGAAAGTGAGCCATCCTTTATAAGCTATTCATTCTGAGAAATTTCTTCTTTTAGTAAACATGAAACCTTCACCTGGAAATATGACATGCAGAAAGCTATGCATGAGGGAGGACGGGAAACAGCAGGTATGCATTGTAGGCTTGCAAGAATACAAGGTATCTTCAGTAGAGACAGTGAAGGAGTTGATCGAGAGAGGGAATGCTACCAGGAGCACAGGAACTACTGGTGCAAATGAAGAATCATCCCGTTCACATGCCATACTTCAGCTAGCCATCAAAAGAAAAACAGATGGCAATGATTCAAAACCAGCTAGAGCAGTTGGCAAGCTATCTTTTATTGATCTCGCTGGAAGTGAACGAGGAGCCGATACAACTGATAATGACAAACAGACCAGGCATGTTACACCAAGCTTCTCTCGTATCAATTGAAGAATTGTTCATCCTAAAGAGCTCAAAGCAAATGTTGCATCTTATTAGGTTGTTCACATTACACCTCCTTTTGCAGAATGGAAGGAGCGGAGATCAATAAAAGCTTACTTGCCCTGAAAGAATGTATTAGAGCTCTTGATAATGATCAAGGTCACATTCCATTTAGAGGGAGTAAGTTAACAGAAGTTCTGAGAGATTCATTTGTTGGCGACTCACGCACTGTTATGATATCTTGCATTTCGCCAAATTCTGGATCATGTGAGCATACCCTGAATACTCTGAGATATGCTGACAGGTAATACATCTAATCATGATTCATGTGAAGCTAATGAAAAATTCTTTCTTTATTTTTCTGTTTTTTGGTAATTTTTTTACATATGCCAAAAACTTCCATGTCAGAGTCAAAAGTCTATCCAAGGGTAACAGCTCCAAGAGGGAACCACTGTCCTTGTTGAATCTTCGTAGTTCAATAGCAGTGCCTTCATCTACAGCCCTTCCTTCTGTATCTGGCTCTGAGGACAATGCATTCAGTGGGCTTCAGCAAAAGGAGCTTGGGAAACTTGCGAGAAGTAAAGCACAAGAAAAGGAATCTTCACTGTCTTCTAATATTGAGCGGGTCCCTAGTGGTCGTATGCAGAGCAATTTGGCACCAAACCCCGTATCAAGTGCAGAAAACCTTAAGCAATTTGGTACAATTGTTGATCGTGTTCCTAGTGGACAAAGTCGTTGGAATGCCCCAATTACTAGAAATGAAGAGGATTTTCATTCCTCAGGACTGATGCATGAGCAAGAATATTCGTCTCAAAACCTATCTGAACCTGAGCCAAGTATCTTGGAGGATCCGGACAATGATCTTGCTGCCTTATTGAAGGTAAGAATTATTACCCTTCTTTATGGAAACTAACCTGTAACTTGATTAATTGCTAATTGATTGAATATCAAGAGCTGAATTTAAATTCGGCTTTGTTATGATGTCAGGAAGAAGGAGACCTTGTAAATTTTCATAGAAAACAAGTGGAAGATACGATGGACATTGTTAAGGAGGCAAGTAACCTATTATGTATTCATCTCAGCATGGTGGGAATACTTTCTTTTGACCTTACTGAAGTTGTTGCGGCATTTTAATTATTTTGTATGTTTAACAGGAGATGAACCTGCTGGTTCAGATTGATCAACCTGGTAATCAGCTCGACGATTATATCACTAGACTGAATCTAATTCTGTCTCAGAAAGCTGCAGGAATTCTGAAACTGCAAAATCGGCTGGCAGATTTTCAAAAGCATCTTCAAGACCGTCAGGTTTTTGTTTTTCCTGCTAACCCCTGATACAGATTTCATAAAAATCACACATTACATGCCTGAAACTAGTTAATGATGTAACAATCGAGCACAATTGGTCCTAATCTTGTTGCTTGTTTCATACGTGTGAAAGATTGACTCAAAAAAAGGCCAAACAAAGAACACCAAAAAGTTTGTTCAAGTTATAATTTATGAGTTTGGGCTGGTGTTAGCGATACTGATGCTGGATTGACTTTGATTGTATGAGTTTGGATTCAACAGCAAATCACAACTTTGCCCCAATAATTTCTTAATGTGTTTGTATATGATTGTATATGTTGGTACAAGACAGAAATTAGTGCTTAACTTACTGTATGGATCATATCTTCTGCACAGCATATCCTTTTATATATCCTGTCTTTTTCAATAGTTGTTTTTCCAATCTTATTAGATCTCCATTGTTCCCATCTTTGTGGTGACAAAGTTTCACAGAATTCCCTATATAATTAAGAAACAACAAGTAATTCTAGACTACAAATACAAAAAAGCCATAGAACTTCAGGGATCCCAATAGATTGTGAACTTTTTTTTTTTTCGAAATAAAAAATTTCAGTCTTAAAACTTAAAATTGTAAAGAGTTACACATGTGAAAAATCAGTAGAATCATAATATGTGTACTCCTTCTGTCCACAAATAATTATCGATTCATTATTGGTTGAAATACAAGACGAGTTCATTAAAATGAGTTGAAATGGAAGTTTTGAAGCCTTTGATGGCACTTGCCCAAGGTATGCGTAACGAGGTTTCATCTAGCTAGCATGAAAGGTTGACAAAATGCCTTTATCCTTTTTTGTTTTATACACTAATTATTTTCTAATTCTCCAATAATATATGGCGTTAGGTCATCAACTTCCAATAAGGGAAATATTGGATATAAAAGTGAACAAATTAATTTGGAGGTCCTTTGGTTTGGTATTTGGACTAACCTACTTAAAGCTATCGTGACTCACTTTTATAGTTTCATTGCCTCCCCGCCAATCAACTTTCTTTTCTTATGTATGTGACTTCTCGTTGTGGCCATATGGAGATTGGAAAGCATAGGGAACCAAAAACTCATACTGATTCTCTCCTGATAATAACTTTTAGAATGTTATTATGGTTAAGAATTATAGTTGTAATTATGTGAAAGTTATTCGTGGGACGAAAAAATGAATAGTAAAATGACAGCCCTAAAGATGGGAATTGAAGACTGAACAAAGGCAAATGATAGAAAAGAGCAATTAACGGTACAATTGATTCAAAAAAAAAAAAAAAATAGGAAGATAGATCGCACAACCCAATAGTGATGGTATTGAAAGTTCATTACATAAATCTGTGAGTTTCTTTCTGCCATTGGAGACTTGGGCCACATCAATCCGGTGATTTATGGGTGGGATGATGCGTGTCATCGTTCTTCACTGCTATTTCTAAATCTGGAAACATGATAATGCTGCCATATCAACTTCATATTGCAAAATATGGCTACATTATACTCTAGCCGTCCGATAAATAATCCACGTTATTATATTATAATTTAGATACGTGTCCTCTCAAAAAATGATCAAAATTGACCCCAAAAAAAGTGCGTGAAAATGAAAATATTAAGATGGATGTGTGGACATACTGGATTAGATAGGATTAGAAATGAATGTATTAAAAATAAAGTAGAGGTAATGGTAGACCGATGAAAATTTGGAAAGAAATTATAAAAAAATAATTTAAAATATTTAAATTTAAGAGTCAATTTATGTAATGATCGAGGAAGATGGCAGCATATGATCCATATAACTAACCTAGCCTATTGAAAAAAAAGGTTTGTTGTTATTGTCCTTAAAAAAAAAAAAACAAAAACTATTGTTGTGTACACATCAAAAATTATAAATCTAGAAAAAGTAGCCCGAAAGAAAAGAACTGTTCATGATTTCCACCAATCGTTACACTACCGTCCCGTCTTTCTTTTGAATGAGATCCATCAAAATGATTTGACACACCGAGTTTTTTTTCTTTTTCTTTTTCTTTTTTTGTTTTAAGAAAAATTTGCTTTCGACGAATCCTTGTGATGAGATCCTACTCTCCCAAGCTGCTGGTAGCTTCACAAAATTAATGCCTGGCCTGTTTTTACAAAGCACCAGAAAATGAATAACCAGAAGGTCACATCTTTGATGCACGTCGGTTACTATGAATGTAATCTAATAAAATTCTATCCCGCGTATCTGTAGTGTGATCCTCGCGGGCCAATTCCTTCTTAGGGTAAAAAATTGTCATTTCATTAATTGTTTAGATTGCTCTAATTTGACTTGAAATATCCGGTTTATGAATATCACTAACCTCTTATCTTAATTATAACGTATAAATTTAAACTACTTTCATTATTAATTTGTGCTTTATAATTATGACAAAAGGAAATAGGATTCTAGTCTAATAAAAAAAATAAATTTGAACTAATTTTAATGTTAATTTGTGTTTTATAACAAAAATTGGAAAGAATTTTATTTTTATTACAATTTATAATCTATGATAATGTGAATGATTTTTGTGGGATAAAATGAGTAGGACCTTTCTCTCTAGGTCTATTGAAAAATAAAATCGGCCTAAAATGAATAAATTGGTTACAAAATTTGGGAATTGAATGATAGGCTAGTAGTTAGGGTACTATCTTTCTTGTTAATAGATCAGTATTCGATCCCCACCAAAGAGTTTGTAAGAGGGAGGATTTTATCCACATTTAAGTGGGGTCTGAATTTAAAAAAAAAAATTGGTTACAAAATTCACTAAGTTAGCTTATTTATCTCCACAACAATTCATGAACGGCAATATCCTACCTGGGCGTCAATTATTAATTACACAATTTTATTACTGAAATATATCATCTGCGTAACTTCAGGACTCAACCAAGACAAATCTCCTAAACCTAAGTCGGTGTCAATGATGCCACATAATTTGCTGTATGCCTTCGAGTCAATTTACACAAATAAAGAAGCATTACAGGAAAATGGGCGATTAAAAAGAAGTCAAGTATGCAATTCAATAATTATCAAAATATCAACCAATGCAGATGCTTAATACATAATTGAAAAAAAATAAAAAAAGTAGGGTCACCCTTTTAGTCAAAAGTGTTGATCAATTGATCTTTAAAGCAAGAACGCTGGATTGACACTGCCACTCTCTCATAATCTCATTATTATTGGTAACTGCTGACGTTTGGTTCTGCTTTTATTTTCTAAAGAAAAAGAAACAGGACAAAACAATACGTCGAAGGTAACATTAACGGTGAATTGCATCTAACTAATTACTGATCTTCAATAAATTGTGCTAGCTCGTCTATGTGTGAGTAGTCAATGAATCTAAAAATTTTCTCTAACCAAATTGGTGTTAAAACTTAGAACACCTGACCTTGCTTTGATATAGTTTATTACTCCCTCCGATTCTGAATATCAGGCATTTTGATATTGTCTTAGGTTTCACATAGTTTGTATTTTTAATTGACGAAAAAACTTTAAAAATATATTTTCACATTCGTTGTATTTTCTTGATTGTTATGAAATATTTTTAAGATTTTTTGGTCAATTACAAATACATATTAGGTTAAACCTACAATAAATCAAAATGTCTTAATATTAAGTACCAGAGGAAGTACATAATATATCAATATTCAATGTGAACTTCTTTTAGAAAAAAAAAAACGGAGAGAATAACTTTTTATCATGTGTATAAATGATCATTTGCTGTCGATAACGAATTCATTTGCCGAAGACGAAGAGTGCATGGGTCAAAATATTATGTTGCTAAATTATTTTTTAAGTGCGAATGAGGAGTTGGTTCAGTGCTAAAATCACCCTTGCTCTATGAGGAGATCATGAGTCCAATTCTCCCTCTCCAACAAAAAGTGAGGGGTTGGCTCTCACTTTGCCTATTGGCACCTCTAAGGGCTTATTATGGTTAACCCACTAATGAACTCCCGATTTCGCATCCGAGCTTGTTACTCCGGACTTGCCTAGGGTGGTTTACCTCCCACCGTGATTTGCAAGCTATTGCATTGGGTGTGGGTTTATCCATCTCTGGTGGGGTTCCCAGCATTACCAAATGATGGAGCGTCCTTGAGCCGGTCCACGAGTAAGTGTTAATAATCCCAAAATGCCTCGTAAAATAGGGTTAGGATTCTAATGCTTAAGTTAAAAGTCTTAGAGAGAAAAAGAGAGACTATTAAATGCTATATGTAGAGAGAACAACATGAAGAATAAATAAATGTCTCCGGTGCTCTTTTTATAGATCCAAATAAGGAATATAAGAATATTTCCTTGCACAGTGCATATGAATTTTAGTAGATATTATTTGATATCTGGGCCAACTTAATTAAAGCCTAATAAGGCAATGGCCAAATTGCCCCATCACGAAATATATATATATATATATATATTTAAATTAATTTTTTATATAAACAAGAAAAAAAATTAACTTCAAAATTTGACCCACCAAATACTGTACTAATGCGCTACACACAAGACAAGACTACAGGCTCTAGGGCTAAATATTTTTTATCAACAACCAATCAGCAACCAATCGTACCATCCAGCCTCATGATAACAAGTAAACCCAATCAGCTCTCAGTTTGGTTTTGACCAAAAAAAAAAAAATTAAAGAAATATCTGGATTGCAAATCTCCAAAAGTTTCTTCATAATCAGGTAATTACCATATATAATGGTTGAATGTGGCGTTTTGTGATTGGGCAAAGCTTGTCACAATGATAGCCACCTAGGGAGCAGGAAAATGACTGAAAATGACACTTTGTAAACAGCCAATTGGATAACTTCATAATTCAGAAGCAAAAACCTCTTATTTCAATTGGATTTGAGGTTTTTCGACCGCGCCTAGACAATTTTTTCTTTAGCGAAATCCAACTCCGCCGCCAAGATAAAGTCTTTGTTTTACTCTTCCTTTCTAATCTTTTGTCCGGAAAGATTTCAATCTTTTGTACAACGACATTAAAATGATAAAATCAGCTACACAATAATTAACTGTATTGAACTAAAGGAATGGATTGATGTCACTGATACAGCGATCAAAATCTTGTTTTGGTAACAAAAACTGAAATATTCAAGAATCGAAATAATTAAATGGAGCATAGCTTGATGACTGAATTTCCTGCGGATCCATTTAAAATCAAACCACTTTATGGCATTCTGACGGATGACTCTGAGTTTGGGTTACCAAATTTGGTAAATGGTGAAGGGAACACACACTTAAAAGAAACTAAACAAAAGGATTAGTACATTTTTTAGTCATGGTTTAGGAACGTTTTCAACTTAATTGACATCATTGTACCATGTGAGTTCTTGCAATTAGGTGAGTCAGGTTGTGTATGGGCCGGCTACCAATCCGACGTTTCCACATTAGATACAACCTTAGTCAAACCCAACGAGATGAATGAAAGGGAATACATATGCTAATATTTTGATTAGATAAGTTATATCCTTAAGCCAATAATATTAGGGCATACGGCATGCACCCAATATAAAATGAATCACGAAGGTGATTGAGAGAGGAGTACATAATTTCCCTTTCTAGTATTACTGGATTATTGGAAGATGTATATTCAAATAAATACTGTCTTCCTAAATATTCATTAATTTTTTTTAAATATCATTCAAAGCACTCGATTATGATAAGCGTTTACCGTGTCTCTCATTTGATAAGTTATTACAATCGAATGTAAAATGATCGGAGTGGCTGTTTTTTCTTTCAAACTCCGAAATGAACCTAACAGAAACATATGTGCATATTATAATCATTGCTATTTATAAAATATACCACATTTTTCTCCCATGTAGATGATGATTCTCTGTTGGTTGGCCTCAAAGGAGTCATCCTCTCCATGCTAATATAGAATTGCAACTTGCAAGATCACCATATTCTATTTCGGGGAAAGCAATGACCTTGAAAGGGTAAGTAGAGAAAGAAGAACAATAATGTTGAAAATTGGGTGTTAGTTTAAGCAATAAACTACATATAAGACAAGCCCAGATTTTGGGCATAAAAGGAATATGTTTCCCAAGATGCATGCACTCCACACATATAAAAAAGGCAACACCAAATTTTTATATTAAAGATTTGGGGAGTAAGTGTCCGATTCTTAACGTGCCACGTATGGGAAATGTCCTTTTTAAGCCAGCACACGAGTGATAGGTGAGTGGGGTTTTATTTAACCCTTCAAAAAGCTGAAATCATTAACATTAAAATATGGATAATTTGATGAAAAAGGTAAGCTCAAAGCCTCAAAGACTCGAAGCTAAACATACGATTCCTCCCAGCACACCGTATCTATTGGTTTGCCCCTCCGGCCGTCCTTTCTCGCACTCAACTCTACTTATTTTTCTGTTTATTTAATCCATTTAGATACTTCTTGCCTAGCTCACTTTCTTTAGCTAGCGCGTGCGGATCTTCCCATCTTGGATTTTTTGTGAATTGGATTATGTATAATTTGTGCTCCGAGTCCTGCCTATGGAAATAGCCTATCTAAAGCCCCGCTTAATTTAGAAGTTTATGATTTAACTCTATTAGAGTAATACAATACTTAATAATATTCAGCCACGCAACATGTGTATGATCGAATGCATGATACATGTCACCTACGACTAATCAATATTTATTTCCGTCACATGAAGTGGATGCGGTGTAGCTGATCGTATCGATCGTTCGTTTCGTAACTATTAATGTTATACATTTTTATGAATTCACAAACTTGTATATGTCGAACATTGAATTGTTTTGTATATGTTTCGAATACAATTTTAGTCTTTTAATGAAATGTACTAGTTCCATCAATCTTACCGTGAACGCAAAATGATATTACTACTGTAAAGCTTACATCTACATTACATTCCCCCAGTCTCACAAATGGTAGTAGTATGTATAGGACGTGGTGGTCCAGAAATACGTTTTATCTGTTTGTGGTTCATTCATTCATCCTCCCTATTAACTTATTGCCCAAGGTTGAGCTTCATCATCGAGCCGTGATGGCCCACGCGCGATTAGGAGACCATCACAAGATTGATTCGGCATTTTAGCCCCCTTCCTTTGCTAGCTGTTCTTTTCCAGGTTAGCAATTTCGGCACCATTCCATGTGCTCACGCCACGTCTCATTATTCTTTTTTTGTTTTTGGTTTGGGACCACTTTTATCTCACCACACTACTCAGAGGCCTGAAAGCTAACCTTCCCCCGGCGCGTGTGTTTCTCATTCTTCAACTGAAAAACACTCAACAAAAAAGCGATTTAAAAAAGGTCAGACACCAAAATATCTCAACCCCGCCACCTCTGCACTTCCCCACTGACGTTTGTAGAGATAATAATAATTAACATAAATTACCTCCGTTTCCCCTCCTACTTCAGTGAAATTTTCATTTGAAGCCTTAAAATTGGAGATATACCAGTGCAATTTCCAATTGAAGCTTAAAAACTGTAATGTTTGAAAACAATTACATCATTCAAAACAGATATACTCTCCTATCCCAATATTATTGTCCAATTTGAAAGATTTTCATTTCCACTACAATTCGTACTAAAAATGAAAAACTAAACCGGACAATCATTTCGGGTCGGATGGAGTAACTTCTTTCAAAGTTTTACCTTTCTATGTATATGTTATGAGGGGAGCTTGACTACAAATTGAAAGATCATCTAGCTGTTTTATGCATGTCTCTTGCTTATTGAATTCTTTGATTATTAGGGTGCATTTAGCACTAATCAGTGGTGAAATCTGATCAATGATTAATGTCCAAATAATTTTCTTAAAACCTTTGTTGATGTCTAACTAGTTTATCTTAAGTTGGTTACATCTTGTTATTTGTTGTGAACTACTCCCTCTATCCCAAAATAATAGTCACTATTGAGTTTTCAAATTTGTAAAAAACTAGTACAAATCTCAAAATTCAATATTGACTATTTTTTTGGGACGAAGGTAGTATTAGTCATCGAAATTATGATTTTAAAAAATATTGGGGTAGTTTTATAATTCACCATAACATGAGCAGGTAGGGCAATAGTGGACCCGAAACTCTTGAACCCGAGAAACAGAAATATCGCCCGTCCAACAGGGGCCCACACCTCAGTCCAATGACCTCCACGTTACCCACTTGTTTACTGTAGTCTTCGCTACTCCCACCACTAATATAATTACATTTATATATTTATATTATTGTTTTATTATTTAATTTCATTATTTTTTTTATATATACACCACCTTACAAGGCTGGTATGCCTCTTGAAACTCTTTCGGTCCACAATTCATTTCCCACCTCTTAGTAGCCGCAGCGGTTGGTTCTCGGGTTTTTTTTTTTGTTTTCCGCCGATAATTCAATCGCTGAATTTTTTTTCCGGGCATGTGGGATGGAATCCGGCAACGATAATATCATCGCCCCTTTTGTTATGAAGACTTACCAAATGGTGAACGACCCTTCCACCGACGGACTCATCGCTTGGGGTAAAGCCAACAACAGCTTCATCGTCATCGACCCTTTGGATTTCTCTCAAAGAATCCTCCCTGCTTATTTCAAACACAACAATTTCTCTAGCTTTGTCCGCCAGCTCAACACTTACGTGAGTTCTTATGTCTTTTTCTTTGATTAGTTTTTTTTTTTTTTTTGATGATTCATCAATTATGTGGAATAATATGTAATTTTGAATTGAAAATGAACAGGGTTTTAGAAAAGTGGATCCAGACAAATGGGCTTTTGCGAATGAATGGTTCTTAAGGGGGCAAATACATTTACTCAAGAACATTGCGAGGAGGAAGCACAACAATAACAACAACAATTGTAGCAATTATGGTGGGAGGAGCTCGAGCAGTAGTGGATACAAAAATGAGGAAATTGGGGGAGAAGATAATGATCAAGGGATAATAATGGAAATTGCAGCTTTAAGGCAAGAACAGAAGGATTTAGAGCAAGTGATCTCCAGGATGAACAAAAGGCTAGAGGCAACAGAGAGGAGGCCCCAGCAAATGATGGCTTTCTTGAGTAAAGTTGCTGAAGACCCTCAATTCATCCCACGAGTGATGCTCGAAAAGGAGAAAAACAAAAGGCTCAATTTGAGCGGCGGAGAGAAGAAGCGGCGGCTCTTGATTTCCTCCGCCCCGTCTTTATCATCCCCTTCTTCTTCCTCCTCCGGAATGGCGTTGACGACCACCAGTACTTCCTCTTTCAAGAGCGAAGAAGAAGAAGAGGACGACGCCAATTTCGCCGTGGAAAATCTCTCGCCGGACACCTCGTCGTCTTCGTGGTTCAGCCAGAAACAACCCACGCCGACGAGTCAGTGTTTCGTAGCCGAGGAATCATCTCTCGACAGGGGAGTCAATAATATTATGTCCGCCGCCTTCACGGTGTCTCCACCGCCGGCGCAACCGCCGTACGACAGCTCGGCGGTGTTTGAGCAGAAGTACTTTAATTATAGGGATATAGGTTATCCGGGCGGCGGCGTTGGGCTTGTGGTGGAAGATGAGGCCGGTAGCGCACCGCCGCCTTATCCGTTCTCACTGTTAGGTGGCGGTTTCTAGTTTAATTTCACTGCTACTACTAATATTATTATTTATTTATCTATTAGTCCTTGGTATTATTATAATACTCTTTTTTTTTTTTTGGTCGTTTACTATTGTTAGCCATAATTCTAGAGGACACGTGGCTGGAGCTCTTAGGATTATTAGGACATCATGGTTTGGATGGTTTGTTTGTAGTTTGTACTACCATAGTTAGGAGTTGATGAAGGTTAGTGTACAACCATAGGAATCAAAAGAGAAAATATGGTAAAATAGCAAAGATAGGTGTAAAAAATTGTACATTCTATATTGACGATGGCGTATTATTTGGTCACTTGTCTAGGATGCTAGCAACTATTTGATTTACATGATGTACCATGAGCCAATAATAATGGAAGTATGAGACTTCTAATTTAGTCTATATTTATTTAAAGGTAAAGATTCTTTTCCTTTGGAAATAACCAACACCTTAGAATGATTAAAGATGCCTTGGAAACTCTATGACGGATAAAATAAAGCCATTTAGCCTTAATCTCAAATCATTGATCTCAAATCTCAAAGGCCAATCTCGAGTGTGATTGATTTGGCTTTTCCGATTTGGTAAGGAGAAAGGAGGCACGCCATTAGAATTGTTAGCAACATTGTTTTCAGACTTTTTGCTGACTGACCAATCAAAGTGGTTTTTTTTTGCCTTATTTTTTCAAATTAAATCTAGAATTTTGAATTTTATTTGATGTGCATATATTGTTCCTCTTGGTCGAACCAATTGCGACGATACATTCTTGCCTAAAGATTACTACATCGATAGTTTGTGGTACTAACGAGAAATGACTGCTTTTCAAATTCTAAACATCTCAGCCGTGGTGTCTTAATCCTCAGAATTCTAGGCGCATTTTCGAGGAAATTATGCCAAATGTTAAGTTCTAACTAATTATCCTATAGCGACAACTAAATCAACTTAGATTTGTCGTCAAAAGAATGGTAGAATGACATGATTTGTGCACTTGCAAATCTGTTGAACTTGCTCAATTACGATAACTTTACTTTCGTACATGATGGTTTCACAAGATTTGGCAATATCACAGGATCTATTACAATTTAGAGCAGACACAACATATGTTTTTTAGAATGTTATAAATAATTTATCAACAAATACTTGGTTCAAGTGATAAATGTAATGAGCTAGTTTAATCATGATTAAGGTTCAAACCCAGATATGTCATGTGCATGTAAGAGTGATTAAACATTTGTTAAGAGAGTTTTTATGTTCTGATCGAATCAAATTAGTTCAATTTTAAATTTTTCGGAATAATAACTTCGGCATCGGATACATGTAATACACTAAAAAAAGAGTGTTACAATGTGACGTGTGGTGTAAAAATACATGTATTAATTAACAAACAAGGGTTTCAGTTCATATTGTGATTTTTAGGCATATCCAAATAAAATGTTTTCAAGTTTTCATCGATGTATGTCTATATGATATATCATCCCTGGATTATTTATCAAAAGAAAGAAAAAGTAGAGAATTAGTCTAAATATGTAGATAGCGACCAGTGGAGGGAGGCACAGCGCAAGCAAAGGACCAAAAGAAAGTGAGTGGTTAGGGGTGGAAATGATGAAAGCCATAAATGAAGTCGGCCGATGGGAACCTGGGCCTTTAATCCTTTCTGCATATATGAGTGCATCATGTTTCACACTTCACACCGGACCAACAAGGTCCAGCACCCCATCTTCTTAACATGTGATAACTGATCATGTCTTTTCTTTTGTTCGTCTTTTGCATTTTCCAAAAGTTGTTTTTCTTATTTCTCTTCACACACACAATAAAAAGATAGAGTACAATATTACCAGCGAAAAAAAAATTACGAATTGCAACGTACATGATATCGTTTAAATTTTGAAGTCCTATAAATAGAACAGGATACAAATACATCCATATCTATTCATACACAGGAATCTCGTGGTTCTTGTCACCTCGCCTCTTTCTCTAAAAACTGATTAGTTTCTAATCTTCTTGATACTGTATTGTAACACAAAAAGTGGTATGATGGGATATATGAAATTAATAGAGACATGTGATGTTATATCTGGATTGTCCTTATAATTTCGTAAGGTCAATTTCGAACTACAGAATATTTAATTTACGCTGATCCATTCCCTCACAAGTGTTTTCTGCTAAGACGAGAGCAAAAAAATTGATGAAGATGGATGATGAGCAAAAATCAACCAAAAAGAGGGGTTGTCATTTTCACCATGGATCCATCCATCTCTATATTCATTTGCTCGAGTGTGAACTTCACACACGTCGAAGACTTAGTCCGAAAGAGGCCCATTTCAAAGTTTTATGTCACGAAGAGGTGATATATAGCTTTTCATATGGGAAAAAAGTAGATCGGGCATTCGGCAACATATGATTCAATCACGGATCCAGGAGGGGGCCCTTTTTGCTAATAGTACTATGGTGAGAGTGAAGTAGCTGGTCAGCCCATATTGGTTCCCGTGACAAAACAAACACACATCATCTATGATCTAACCATGAGATCCACCCCATAACTTTTATGATTCCCCCTCACCCTTTTTTTTTTTTTTGGTACAAAAATAGGAGGCGTAGAGCCTGAACACTATACTATTACAATATTACAAAGTGAAAATATGAAACCCAATCACATCATGGACAAGCCACAATTTTACACTGAGAGAAGAAACCAACGGTTTCGAATAACCCCAAATGTTAGGTCTAATTCTTTCGAAGTAGTCGACGGAGAAATTGGCTTCCCTATATGAGTGATGCTCATTTTCTAGTTTCGAATAATCCGAGAACTGTTATGATGCCGCCTCACCTTTTTTTTGGGTTAAAAAAGGAATATCACCAACAAGATTTACTCATATTGAAAAAATATGGTTTCTAACATGCATGATTAGAATATATACCCTCAGATTATCATAATTATAAGACACATATGTAAGCTAATTTTAGTGTTAATTAGCGTTATATATGATGACCAGAGGGAACATTATATGATAAACATATACCTATAATTTATCTATTTATAATAAAGGATTTCAAAGTACGACCATGAGCCATTTCTTAGGCGGGCATCAAAATGACCTAGGTGACTTGTGTCATACGGAGCGAGCAAATCCAGGATCAACATAGTATTTGATTATTGTGATCTATGTTCTCCTGTAATTTAATCACACTTCATACCATTAGTTACCACTAATACAACTGTCAAAAGACTATTTCCTGTGATTAGATTTTTGAAGATTATGACAGAAGAATACATTGTTTGGTAGAAAAACAGTCCAGAGAATTTGGCGAGTAAAAATAATGGTGTCCTTGTCATTGATGAGAAAGGCCGAAGCTAAAAAGAAAAATGGGCTTATTTCTCTTCTTTTGAAGGAGTTTCAGCTAACAACTCGGAGATCAACGAGCCTCTTAAATGGGCTTCCACTGTTGGTCTATGAGTTTGTTCAAACAAAACAAATAAAAATGATAGCTACCTCCTCTGGATCAAATATTGAATTATTAAGAAAATGATTGCCATAATATCCACACACATGCAGGTACATAAGTTATCGTACCTTCACCTTTTTGTTTGCATAAAAATTACGCCCTTCATCCGAATTCAATCTGCTTGTAGTACCAATTTTCACACAAATTAATAAAACTAACTTAACTTACAACTTTTACTTTAATCTTTTTAAAATACCCTCATAGTTAGTTAGTTAAACTAACTTAACTAACCATTAATAATGGTTAGGTAGTTGGTTAAATTAAGGGTGCATTTGAGATTTTATTAGAAAAAACACATCCTAAATAGAGAAACCGGCCTATTTAGTGGGACACCCTTAAATAGAAAGGATACCTATTGAATTGGGACGGAGAGAGTAAGAAAATATCAATTGAAATTAGTATATGTATCTAATAGTATTTGTGTTGCTCTTAATTATATATATTGAGATTATGCAAAAGACAAGCTACATGTAGTTCTCACAAATCAAAATATGTTTTGTCAATTTCTTCCAACCTTATTCTTACATGGGAAATTGAGAGTAATAAATGTCAATAATTAATATTTAACTGGGTGTTTATTGTTTATTTAGTGAAAAAAAGACTTGTTATTGTTGTTGTTGTTACATTTATTGTCTACTTAAATTTTGTGAAATTTATTCTTTTCAACGAAATATATTTAAAATAGAAGGAATATTGAAAATAGAGAAACAACTATCTTGTAGAAATGGGGCAGAAATAGTTGTCATTTGTACAATATATTAAAAATGGATAGATATATGGGTCAAATTAAAAAAAAAAAAAGCAATTGATATTGCATTAGTAATGAAGTACGATAGGTAAGAAAAAGTATGGATCCACCTAAATGCAATAGGGAAAAAAAAGAAAAAAAAAAGAAAAAAGAAAGAAGTGGAGATAGTGTATAACTACAATAAAAACTCTATATTAATGCTCTATAAAATTCTATTAAATAATAAATTTCTTCAGTTCCAATTCGGGACCAACACAAAAATCACACAAGATCGATAAAATTAGTAAGATAATAATTTCTTCAAAAAATTCCAATATAAATAAAGGTCCCTGAAAATCATAAATTAATGATGGTATAAAATACCCAAAAAAAAAAAACCTAAGAAGGTTTAAGAAAGTAGGAGCCTATTAAAATATTTTTTTTTCTAGAAATTTACATCTAAAAAAATTATATCTTTGGTTTTTCCTCCAACTAGTAAATAAAGATATAGTAATAAGATAAAAAATAAATAAAGAAGTAGGGTTGAAGTTGTGCATTTGTTTAATAGTTTTCTAATATAATTGGAAAAAAAACTTTAAATAAATAAAATACTAATTTATTCATAAAATAATATTTAATTTATCTATAAAATAATAATATATAAATTAATAAATTTTTGTGAGCCAAAACTATTGATTTATAGAGTTTTTACTGTGCTCTGCGGTCAAAGCATCTATAGAGCATGCATAGAGCCGATTATTTCAAAGTCACGAAAAATAGTTCAACATTTGAATATTGCCATTTTTAATACTCCTTTGTGCTTTAATTTGCTTAAATTCGATGCGAATGAAAGTGCTTAGGAGAATTATTTTAAAGTATATATGCCGTTTCCAGTTAGTGGAGGATGTTGTTGCTTAAAGAAATTGCATTATTTGTAAAAACTAAATAATTGTATATTGTTTTAATTTTCTTGAATATTTTCACTCCACATAAAACTAAAAATCCTATCCCATTCTTATTAATAAGATTCATTCTATCCAGTGGACCTAGGAAGATCAGTAGGGGCGGTCGCCCCAACCTAATTTTTTTTTTTCAAAAAATCCTTTAAAAATTTATTATAAATTTTTAGATTTTATATATTTTATATATTTTAGCTCCTCCATTCTATAAATCTTGACTCCGCAACTGACTCTACCACGGACGAATATTTCTACAAGGTTATAATCCATTTTCCATTACTTGATAGTATAACTTAAAACCCGGAGGTATATG